CATGAATCTGCTCAGACCACCACCCAACAAGTTGCCCAACAGCTCATGTCAACATCTAGTTACTCATTGAGAGAGTCGGTGATGTTGCTCAAACTGCATCATGACTGTAAGCAGCTGAATTCATTAAAGGTTCACCAGCTCCAGCTGACTTCAGGACTTCAGGTTTCACCTCATAATGCTTCATGTCTCACTAATACTCAGAAGACAGTTTACATGTGTACACTAGAGTGCGGTTTCATTTAGCCTGCTATCTGCTATCACCTTCAGCTGTGTGGCTAAGCTGTTTGCTGGACTATTTTAGGATGCGTGTGGGTGTCACGCAGGATTTACCACAAGCCTCGTGTGCACAGACACATGTGGCAGAAACACGCCGACCCAGCCTGCTAGCAGCAGCCTGTAGCTAACCGCGCTGCCCCAACATAACAGCACACAGAGGGGCAGTTCACCGTCGTCATGAAGCGTCATCCCGATGGTTCCTCCGGTGTTGATGACCAGGACTCGAGCCTCGGCGGCGGACGGGGAAGTCACCGGGTCGGTGATTTCTATCGAGTTGCAGCTCGACAGCTTTCTCCTCCGGGACGGATGCCGCTGAACGTTTCGCGTCGTGAAAACCGAGTCGTTGACTTCTATCATGTCCAGCGTGGGCTGTGACAGAGCCCGGGCCAGGGATGTCAGGCTGTTGAAGCTGGAGTCCGCCATGATGACTTCTCGGGAGCCTCTCGAGCGGCGCTGCTCCTTTAACGGGGATCAAAACACGGTGGTCCTCAAGTGCTGTCGGGTCTCACGTGAAGCTCCTCCCGGGATGTGTCGTGAACGGCGGACAGACGAGTGATGCAGAGGCAGGAGGACGGACTCATGGTGTAAGGGATAGTTCAGGAAGCCCACTGCTGACCACTGTCCCTCATCTCGGACCCTCTTCGGTGAAGTTTCGCCCTTGAACCGCGGATGGACAGTGTCCGCGCTGACGTCAGAGGTGTGGGCGTGGCCTGCGCTGACACATGATGGACGGTGTCAACACGCGGAGCCGCAACAACATGTCAGTGGGGCTGCTGGTCAAGGTTACACTTGGTGACCCGGATCTCTGCTGCCTGACCCCCCGTGTTTTAACCTTTCTTTTGTTTTTCTAGCTTTTATATTTTTGAAACAGTCATTCTGCTCTTAGTCTGCCACACTGTGTTCACTTCAGCCATTTTTCTATTTTTATAAACTTAATTTTACTGTATTTTCTAACTTGTTGTGATTTGGTGTTTTTGTTTTTCTGCTCCTGTAACTAAATAATTTCCAAGGTCTGGGATAAATAAAGTGTTTCACAACTGCTCAGTCCAGACTTTCAATCCTTTTGATACACAGATACTGGGTAAACTGTAGAAGAATTCCTAACAACAGGTAAAAAATCAATATGTTAATAAACAAACAAACAATGGAATACTTTAACATTCTGAAAGTCTACAGAATATGTTGTACAGTCATTGTAAAAGAACAACTAATTGTTTGTTAAAATGCTGTTTTTATGTGGACATTATTTACAGTTTTGTGCTTTTTTACAGTGAACATAAAAATGTTATTTTTAATTTATGTGATTTTATGAAATATTATTTTAACTAAACAAAACAAAGTAAATCTATACTTTTTTAAAAAAAAAAAGCTTTACTGAAGTCAAGTTAAGTCTATCATCCCTACAGGCAACAGATCCGGTCTGATCATTATTAGTTATTTATTTGTAGTGTCGTATTATGTGACTTTATGGATGAACCCTTTCCCATTACCAGCACCTGCATCTCTTCTTCTGCACTATTTAAAGTTTCTGCCACCTACATCACTATCAACTAATTATCACGTATTGAAATGAGCATTAATAACCTTTTGAATACACAATCTGACTCCAGGCACACATTTAAACATGACGTGTAAATCATCATATATAAGACTAATTCAAAGGCCCACTGATCATGAAGCACTGGTCTAGGCTGAACTCACTGTATTCACATTTACATTCATTTTGCCCTGAAATAACTTTAAAATAGTGCCATTAAGCAGTTTAATTCTAAAGATTTGTGGACTCAGGAACTCACAAACAATACATATGAATAACAGTATAATAGTAATATATTTGAATAACAACTATTACATGCAAATGCTGTAGTTTTGTATGCAGCAGCTCCAGGGATGAAATGAACACTACAAATCCTCTAAGCAGGGTCACCTTATACATGAGGTTTTGTCTGAGCATTGCAGGGAGTCTTGGGTTCTCCCTCATTAACGGTTTTGGGTAACAAACACATAACCTGCATTCTGATGCATCTTTATACAACAATATTTGCCTTTTCTGCATCAATTTATGGTGAAAATGTCTTTATCTGTGTTAAAGAAAATTCTAGACCCAGGTGCAAAGTGTAATAGAAAATCATGCAGTGAGGCTGGCGGTCATTATCTCAAATATTTACTCTCCTGCAGATTAAGTTTTCTCATTTAATACGATCCCTCCAAAGTCAACAGCACAGAGCGTTTTCAAAATAAAGGTCCTGCTTGTTTTATGTTTTTATACCAGGGGAGGACACATGGATACATGTTCAGACGGATGTATCTCCTGTGTCACACCCCAAATGGTCATTACCATTAACTATGTTTGTCTTACTCATTTATATTGAATCAACTTTTTTGGCCAAGTTTGTAAACGCAAACAAGGAATTTGGCTCTGGGGAATCTTAGCTCTCTGTATAAGAAATAAAAGAAATAAACCAGAGCAATAAAAATAAGAGTAAGAGCAATAAATAGCAGCATTTACAGATATGCATATTGTATAATTAAGCCATCCCATACACCTTAATATAATTAAATTTCATATTTTAAGTAAATGATGTAATTTTTTTGATTGTTGCAAGTTTACATTTTATTATCATTAACACTGCTACAATGGTTTTTACTTCATTGTAATCAACAGTATTGCTCTTATTATTTTCAGAATCAGAATCAGAATCAGAAATACTTTATTCGGGGAAATTGCTTTTAGTTGCAGAAGCCCCCAATCAAAGTCTTAAAGAAGTAGAAGTAAAGATATATAATAAAATCAAAAATATTAATATGAAAATAAAATGTAAAAAAATAAAATATAAGACAAAATAAATATACATTCTTGCTGTCATAAGTGTATATAAAATGTGACTGTGTGACATATTAATGTGACCCTGGCTGTAGTTCTTTGGATCTAGGTGACGATCAGAACACGTAAACACAACTACCTTGTGAAAATCCACACTGGCAAGTGAAAAAAAAAAACCATTAGCAGCTCTGTGTTTTTGGGGACACGTTTGTTGAAACTTACCTCAAAATGTGGGCAGTGGGAAACAGGAAGTGGGCGTCTACTGTGTGTCTAGACAAAGTGCACAAATCAAACGATGACCTGATTTTAAGCCTCGTTTCTAGTGCAATATGGTAATGAGGAAAGTTTAAAAAACACTATTATTATATAGTTTAACTTCATGTCAGCATGCAACAGCTGATTTCTTGGGACAAGTCGTGAACACAACAGTGACAAACCACCACTGTTTAAAGCTGATATGATGCGAGCAGTTGCTTATTTCCATCTTATCATCTATTTCAAATAATTTCACTGTTTTTTTTTTTAGCTGTATTTTTCGTCTCTACAAACTTTTAGGGAACTATTATATTCACCAGCGACTCTCTCTGTCTCTAACGTGTCATTCGGTGCTGAGCAGTCGGTGTATTTTGGGTTTTCGTCTTCCTTTTGCAGCAACACCTCAGAACTTTCCTCACTGTAAATAGCACTTTACAGGACACACCTAGTGGTTTAGTAGGAGTGAGGAGTTCATTTAGTTTGCTTCCTTTTTCTCACGTTTTTTTGGTTTAGGAGCCCAGGATAGAAAGCTGTCATTATCCTGTTGTTGTCTTTGTTAGGAAAGTTTAGGGTTGATGGAGAACTTTTCCCTCAGCTGTAAAGAAGGTTAACCTAGACTTGGGACGTAACACTTGTATTTAAAAACATGTAATCTGTTTTTATCAGAATGTAAATTTGAGTTATATTGGTTGAAAAAAACATGCTACCAAAACACAGATCTGATTTATTAGTCAGTGCTCATCATGGCATACAAAAGGCCAAAGACCCATGTTGTGATAAATTTATCTTTTTAATGGATATAAATATTAAATTTTTTAAAAAAAAATCCTACATATTGATGGCTGCTGCATGTGAGGAAGCTGTTTTAATCACACTTTTTGAAGCAAGCTGTAAACATACATCACCTGGTGCCAGTTTATAATCAGTCATCAGCCAGCTGAGGTTCAACAGATCGTATCACAAAAACTACAAAAATTTAAACAAAAAGCATCAACATGCACCAACAAGAGGAATAACAAGAAAACCAAACCTCATTGAGTATGACCCCAAAATGAGTTTCACATTTTTAAAAAAAGGCAACTTTAAGCAGCAAATGGACAAACGTGTTTTCTTCCATTAGAAATGTATATAGTAATAGTAGAACAATACCATAATACAATGGCTAGTAAAATGTTGTGGCTAAATATTTGCATGATTAAATGCAAACAACATTTCAATGCCTCACAAAACCTGATTTACTTGCGCGGCTGCTTTTGCCTGTAATACCAAAGTAAATATGTTCTTCAAACATGTGTAGTTAATGTGCTCCTTACATCACTGGTTCCACCTTCGCTGTTCCTCCCAGAACAAGTCCAAATGTCTGCTGTGAAAAAGTTGAATCACTTCTAACAGGCTGGAGATTTAAGTGATTGGAATATAAATGCAGATTAAGAGTTGGATTTAAATAATGATATTTGTAGTTTTAAGACAGTTTATGAGCATTTAATCGGTTAGGTGGAGGAAGGAAAACATCTGTAACAAATTATGCACATCGTTGTCATGTCACACACATACAAAACATTAATTGCTTACAGAAAAGAATATAAATGATTCATCCATCCATCCATCATCTCTACAGGTTCACCTGGACAGGTAACCAGTCTATCACAGGGCTACACTTAGAGACAGACAACCAAGCACACTCATATTCACACCTACGGACAATTTACAATCACCAATTAACATGTTCAACATGTTTCTGGACTGTGGGAGGAAGCCGGAGAACCCGGAGAGAACCCACGCTGCACGGGGAGAACATGGAGACTCCACGCAGAAAGATCCCAGGTGTCCTCGAACCAGCGACCTTCTAGCTGGTTACCTGTCCAGGTGTCCCCTGTCTTCACCCTGAGTCAGCTGGGATAGGCTCCAGCCCCCCGCGACCCTAGTGAGGATTAATACACTGCATAGATCATGGACGGATGTTTTCTGGGTGTGTTTTGATGGAAAACTGACAGTTTTATGTCTTAAAATTTTAATCTACAACACAGTAAGAAGTGCAAAAGCTGAAAGAGTCCAGATACTTTGTGAAGCCACCGTACATGTCTGTAAATGTGAGTTCTCTTAAACTGACTCAACCTAACTCCTCACTCTTCACTCCTGAGTTTGTAGAAAAAGGCTCGCGTACATTAACTAACAGACGTCCTGGGTTTAGTTTCCAGCTTTACTCATCCGCACCCAGCAGAAAATGAAAGGTTTTGTTTACAGCAAACATTTGTCTGCCTGCTTGCTGGCCCCTTAAGCCATGAAGACAGAATAATCTGCTGTCACAACGCACTGCGGCACAGTCAAACGGATGCTTCATAAGCAGTTCAGGTCGTCCAGTCGTCACAGAGTTGAAGGTCTTACTGTTTTTCCAGCAGCACGTCCAAGAATAAAACACTGACAAGATACAGAGATGCCATTTTTAGCTGCTCCACACAGTTCTTGAAGAATTTAAGATGTTAAAATCCTCTAACTTCATTAAAGGTGTTATTGTAGTTATTATTATTTTGGAGAATATTGAGCCTGATGCAAAACTAACCACACAACAGAAGACTAAAAACCCAAATGTTGCATAAAACCATTTTGTAATGAGTCAGACAAAGATGTTCTAATTTTAAATAGATGTTTTCCTTCAGTGCTTTTATTTTTAGAAAGCAGGAGGGATTTTCATTTTTCTTGCAAAGGCGGTTGCAACTTACATCCACAATGAATGAAAGAATGAATCAATCAATCAATCAATCAATGACTGGTCAGATGAACAAGAGAGAGAAATAAAACTCATTTTATTCATTAGTTCATGGTTAACACACATATTTTTAAACAATTAGGCTACTATAAGTTGTTCAACAAATCCTTTTTAAATATATATATTTCTAGGTGTGAGGTACAAGTCGTCTGTCATTTTGAATGATGTCAGATCACACAGACTCTGGAGAATCCTGTAACATACTGTCGCAGGTGGAACACATCTCCAGCAGGTAATGTGACATCAGATGGCTGCAGTGGTTTAATCTACTGAAAGAAACCGACGTGTAGAACGCAATTAGAGCCACCGAATTAACACTCAGCTCAGTTTGAGTTCCTAAAACTGTTGCTATTTTTCAATTTATGGCAGTGTCTCCGACGAGTGTAACATAAAACTCTAAAATTAAGAGATTTATGCTTATTTAAGAAAAAAGAATAGTCTAGGATTGTTTAAGCTTGTGAGACTACATTTTACGTAATCCAATTTTTACAGAGAATTATACAATCAACACTAAGTGAAAGAATTAAAATACTGATTATGGTGAATAAACATTTGGAAACCAAACCTGGTGCATTTATTTTTAACTAGAAGTGAGGGAAAAAAAAGTCTAAATCCTCACTTTAAACCTGTTCAGGACTTTTGGAGTCTTTTGGTCTCCAGGCCATTTGGTTTAGGTGACAGGTATTGTTTTAAATATAAAACAAAAATATAAAAAGAAAGACATTTGTCATGCATTTGGAACCAAAAATACGTCAGCTTATCAGAACATTTATTTAACATAGTATAAAAGTCTATAATGAATACCAACAAGTATTACAAACAACCCCGAAAGACCTTCTATGTATGGCAGCATGAAAGTCCTGAATATGGTTAAATTCACTTCTTTCAATAGTTAATAAACATTTGGCAACCAAATCTGATGCATTTATTTTTAAATAGAAGTGAAAAAAGTTTATATCCTCACTTGAAATTAGCTTTTATCAAAAAACATTTGTCTGCTTTTTGGTTGTAATATTACAACCAAAAAGCAGACAAATGTTTTTTACATTGTACATATGTGTACTTTTATCTAAATAAAGGATGGAAATATTTCTTTCCGGAACTTTAAAGTTCTTTCTTTAGAGCTTTAAAGGGTTTACGTCTCAAGCCAGAACCTTTGTGGGTCCACTGGGTCACATATAAGTAAACACTGCATCTTTTCTGTGAGACCAAACAGGGGGTATCTGAGGACATGGTTTCATTTTTTCTTCTCTGCCAAAACAGTGCCATCAATAAATTTCTTGTTGCTGCTAAAAAGAAATTCTTCTGCAAAACGTTTATAGAAAATGCAGAGCGTACGAGGACAGCTAAACATTAAATTAGAGTATTTTGTTTTGAATCAAAGATGTCTTTTTAAGTCTAATTGAATTTGTCGGTTCCAGTCAGTGAGTCACAGACAGGCACCAGTGGGGCACTGTGGAGGAATGCTCAGTGTCATTGACTAAACGCAGCGGTTTGTGTAACAGACAGTCTAACAAAACGCCAACAACAGAGGGCTGTTAGGGCAGACGAGGCAAAAGCCCCAAACCAACAATCACACATGGGACTGAACTACTTCCCACCACCACCAGGGGGCGGTGTTGCCCTTCACGTCACTGAAAAGTCAGCAGACTGATCACGTCTAAACATTTCAAACTGAAAATATCTCCCATTCTACACATCACTGTGTATTAATAAATATATTTTTTTATATATTTAATGTGATACCAGCGTCTTTAGCGGCCACCGGTGTTAATACAGATTAACGGTGCGTTTAAACATTAATTACTGCCTGTATAAAGTGAACTACTAACTTTAATGTGTAAAAAAAAACACACAATCTATAGAGAAAACAAGTCGCGTAACACAACTTGTTATTTCCAGTGAGTGTGTGTGTTTTATTGTCTGTGCTGCTGGCCCAGACAGTCAGAGCAGCGGCTGAATGAAGTAGACGGGAGGAAGTGGCTGTTAATGCAGCTCCACACCTTTCCGGGGTAGCAGCACTGCGACCAGCTCCACTCAAAGGAGAAAGACGAGAGCTGGGTGTATTTACCGAGACAGGAGGGGTAGATAGGAGGTAAATATCCCACATTTCAATCAACCGTTCAACTCGTAAAGATCGCCGCCACACATTTTGTCATTGTCGCATGTGTTTCATGTCCAGATACGACTAGTTTGCTGCAGCTAACTACCGTTAGCTAGTTAGCTCGAGGCTAGCTCGCTAGGCTAAGCTAGCTGGTGGTTAGCTTACTAGCTTGCTAATTTTTAACGTCTGACCCTCCTTTTAATCTGTTTTCAGGGGGACGAGAGTTTCGCAAGTGGATACGCGTGTTTGTTGGGTCACTGAGGTTTTTTTTTTTAACCTCCCGACTCGTCCCTTCCACGGTGAAGTCACCTGGCGCGACGCTTGATGGAGTAGCCGCAGAAAGCTGCTTTTCTCTGGTAGCGGTGAAGAGAACAAGGGCGCACCCGGTGAGGAGCACCGCCACACACAAACCACCAGAAGGAATTCACAAGTACCGCGGCTTCTTTTTTTTTTCTTCCAAGGAGGGGGCCCTTAAATACACGCCGTGTCTGCTTGGTCTGCAGCTCCCTAATCGCCACGGCCTGTATTTGTCACACCGCTTTCTGTTGATTTGGGCAAATACAATGAACGTCCTGCAACAGCTGCTGCCAAGTTCTTAGTGTGACCGTGCCATGTTGTGTACAGGCCCTGACAACACTGTGCTGCTGCTGCTGCTCTGAACATAAATGCCCCTGCACTTAACAGCATCCTGACAGACTTTCAAGTCCCCAAAGTCTACCGTTTGTTAGGTTTTTAACATGTGTGTGCATTTTTGACTTTTTTTTTTCTTCCTCCTCTCCTTCCAACGTATGCTCTTCACTGAGTCATGTGTTCACCAGTCAGCCCGTAATAAAAAGCTGAAGCTGTATTGTACGTGAATAATCATCATCATCATCATCATCAGCACGGTGTCAGAAACTTTTATTTTTTTCTCTCGTTAGGAACAAAGTATTTATGCACAAGAGTTCAAGATGGGGAAAATGCTCTCAAAAATTTTTGGCAACAAGGAGATGAGAATATTGATGCTCGGACTGGATGCTGCTGGAAAGACAACAATCCTTTACAAACTGAAACTCGGACAGTCTGTGACCACAATCCCCACAGTCGGCTTCAATGTGGAAACTGTCACCTACAAAAATGTCAAGTTCAACGTGTGGGATGTTGGAGGCCAGGACAAGATCCGTCCCCTGTGGCGACACTACTACACGGGCACCCAGGGGTTAATTTTCGTGGTGGATTGCGCGGACAGGGATCGCATCGACGAGGCGAGGCAGGAACTCCACCGCATCATCAACGACCGGGAGATGAGGGATGCCATCATCTTGATATTCGCCAATAAGCAAGACCTTCCGGATGCCATGAAGCCACACGAAATCCAAGAGAAGCTCGGATTGACCCGCATCAGAGATAGGAATTGGTATGTTCAGCCCTCCTGTGCGACCACAGGTGACGGACTGTATGAGGGCTTGACATGGCTAACCTCAAATTACAAATCTTAATGATTGAGTGCTGACTGTTTTAGGTCAAAACTGTAATAAAGTTGCAAGTAACAAATAACTTCTCGAAATGAGTATGGTTAAGAAATTTGATTATCTCCCATTTATTTTTAATACTACGTTTACCCCATGACTAATTTATCTTTAACTGGGTTTGCCGGCTTAAAGTTTGCTTGTACTCTGTAGCAGGCCTATATCACATTCATTATTATTGGGGCTTGCTTGATGAATATTGAATTAATTGATTCTAAGGTTAAAGCCACAGAGATCACCGCCTTTGCCTGTTCTTTTTTTCCTGTTTTATATAATTTTTTCTAATGAAGCTGAGGAGTTTTTATCTTCATTCTTGGACTGAAGCTTGTTTCGAGGTTCTTCTGTCTCTGTTGCGTTGAGCTTGGATCTTTTTTTCTTCTGAGGCGAGCTCTTCAATGTCATGTAGCCTACTTGAAGAAGGACTTTGACATTTGTTTTAACACAGTACTGTGATGGAAAAGTATTCCTTCTCGATGGTGTTGAGAAAGAGGAAAAAAAAAAAAAGCAAGTTTAAAAGGAAAAAAAAAAAAATATCACCAATGCTTACATTTCATTGTCATCAGTCTGGGCATCAGATAAAAAATTACTTGGGACATGTTTTTGTTACCCCACCCAGTACCCTTATGTGGGCTATATAGTTAACTGATTGACCTTTTGTGTCATGTCTTGATACCTAATTGTGCTGAATATTCAACAAATAGGCCTCCAGTAACTCTTAAACATGCTTGTCGGGATGCATTTTTAATTTTTTGGGTAATACGTAGTCAGTCGACTCAATCTTTCCAAAGGAATGTCATTCAGCTCTGTGCTCTCAATCTGATACCACAGTTGATTAGTCTCAGTATTGGGACATTATATGATAGCCTATATCTGTAGCATGAGTACGAAAGTACATTAACCCTACATCAGAGTCCATCTGTCGTGCAGTCAGAGGGAGCTGTTTACTGGTGAAATGTTGAACGACACCCTGTGGTGCAGCTCTTACTCCTATTTTGACTGGGGGGAACCATGTACAGAACAATGTCATTGTAATGTCTTATTAAAAAAGTGATTTTAAATCCGTTATGTCTCGTGTGTTTTCAAGGGTTAAAGGCAGTTTGCATGCGTGTGTGTGTGTGTGTGTGGGTGATGAAACCGTTTCAAGTTCAGCGAAAGAGAAACTTTAGTTAGTGGCAGAGCTCAACATATATACAGCGGTTTAAAAAAAGAAACATGGGAAAAAACTCCCGAGTTCAAAGTAGGAGTGTGCAGTGTTAAAATTCTCCTGGGGTTTGAGTGCTATTGGCCAGCGTCTTTATGAAGGGTTATATGTCCACCCTCAGTCGCTGGCCTCAGTTCCCTTGCCAGTAAATGGGAAAATGTACAAAACAGGAAGTCCAACTGCTGGTCTTTCTGGAACAACAACGGAGCCACATGATAGTTTGCATGAGAGTCGGAGGGGCAGCGGAGATATACAGCTGAATTGTGAATTCTTTTCGAGTGTTGCATGTTGGTCGTGAGCCACAGTCGAGTAGATGCTGAGCTGTCAGCTGCGACTTCCTGAGTTTGCCTTTGCTTGGGACTGGCGTGAAGAAAAAAAAAAAGCGAGCCTCAGTCGCTTTTATTCAGCGACACTGAAGTCAGTGTAATGAGTGGAAGGCTGTTTTTGAGAAGTAGAAAATGTTACGCAACACTCATCATGTTCTGTGATTAAGTTAAACCATATTTAGGAAATACAAATTACCTGAGAAGAGAACACTTTGGTGACCTTTTCTCTCGCTACAGTGTTGAGATAATTGTTGTATCCTTTAAAAAAACAAACTAATTAGCTCTAATAGCTGGTGTGTGCTCGTCTTTCAGAGGCGAGTGTGAGCTCAGTCCAGAACCCTGTAACGTCAGAACCTCGAGCAGATGAGACACGTCATTTAGTTTCTGTGTTGTTGCCCTTTATTAATCTGCTAAAACACTGACCTCATTCTTATTCTCGCTGCAGTCATTACTTCCTAGTTTGGAGTTTAAAAAAGGACGTTTCATTAAAATGTTCCTTTAAAAGTTCAGCTAAACTCTGAGGCACTGGAGGAATGTTTTAATTTGAATTAAAGCTGATTACGGCGAGGGCTTTAACTCCTGACAAAGACAGGATTGATGGTCGTAAATGATCTAAATATTAGTACTATTCCACAGATTTCCTCTTGTTTTTCTACACAGCATTATGAGCGACTGTGTTTTTTCCACTCGTTTTACACATCTACGGTACAGTAAGCTGCTCAGAAGGTTCAGAATTTGCATTTACAACCCTGTGATGCTCTCTGTCTCTCTAAGCATTCACTGCCGCTGTGCTCCTCGTGCATCTGCATCCACAGACGTTCAGGTGTTTCGCGGCGGTGGCACCGGTTCCGTGGAAAAAATCTGGTGCTTGAGCGAGTTGCTGAAGAGAGGCCTCAGGATGTTTGCTTTAGCACCACAGAGGTTTCCGTCAAACAGGTCAGGTGACGGAGACAGATATGAGTTGGCTGCTGCAGAAGACGTTTCACACAACCCACATACATAATGCAGCAGTGATTTAAGCGCTCCATTAAAACAGGCATTAGTTTATCAGCTGCAAACGCTGCGAGTCAAGGAAGCATCCCGAGCTTTGGAGGGTGTTTGTAAATACTCGCTTTCAGTGCGAGCCTGATCAAGGGCCTCCATTAGACACCGATGGCAGCTTAATTGGGCTGTAATGGCCTCTTTGGTTCCCACCACTTCATTACAACCATATGATCCTCGCAGCTTTATTGGCAACACTGGGTCCCCCCGGGGCAAGGACAGAGACTGTAAGCAAGTTTTAATGACCTCTCCTCTGTAAAGATGAGACCTCCTGGCCCTCGTGTCGACTCCCTCCGCGCTCAGCTGGAATTCCTCACACTTCCTGAGAGGAAAGGTTAGAAATGGGGTTCAGGTCGTAGCAGAAAGCTCAGTAATAGGTTGCTTTGTGTAATGAAGCCCATTCTTCTTGTTTATGAAGTGTTGGGTTTGGTCAGATTGAGCCTGCTTGTGTTCTATCTCACCAATGAAATCGAGGATAATGAGCACTTGTTTCGCATAGCTCACCGGTGTCATAACTCGCAAAATAAGACGGGCTTAAACTCTTCCACCGGTCTGCACAAGAATGCGTATGACAGATCGGTCTTAGGCGGCCAGAGTGCCTGTTTGTTGCGGTGGTTTCTATGACGGCGGCCTGATGGGAGCTGGGCCAGCGTGGACTGGTGTTTTTGGTATCACATAGGTGGCTGACTGCGCTGCGAGTTTCCAGTCAGTTCCTCTTTATTCTGCATGGAAAGAGGAAGAGCGGGGAAGAAATTGAAAGAGGCCGTACTCTCTGTTCTGCAATCGTGGAACGCGTATTTGTCACGTCGTCGTCGGCCAGCCCTTCCTCTGTCACAAAAATTTAAAACAGCTCAGGAATAGCTGTTGTGGGTGGTATTACAGCGCTACTCCTCCCATGCCTACAAGCCTACCCCGAATTATGTTTGCGGTTTTCAGGGGTGTGGTTTGTCTTCCTCGCATGTCTTCACTTCCTCTTCACTCCAGCTGCAGAGTGGCATTTCTGCAGGTAGCACTAATATACGACTCTTTTTTTTTTGGGCCTCGAGTTGCTGACTTAATGTTGGCTAACAGTTTCACAGCCACACCCAGCCAGATAATCTCAGTAGGATTTGCAATGCGTGCAGATACAGATATTCTTGAGCACCATTATTAAAAAGCAGTTTATTTATCTGCCAAATGGTAGGAGGGAACACCTACTCTAAGCCACAGTTCACACAGCTGGCTCACTGGCTGCTTCTCCTCAAGGACAGTTAGAACAGCCTCTCTGGTTTTGAAACCCCCTCTCTCTCTGTGTCCCTGGTTAATTCTTGAGCTGCAGCCTCTTCGACTCTGCTGTTAATAATGAACTCGCGCACACAGCTCAGTTTAAAAGCAGGTCCGGATGTGGCTGAAAGTTGTTGTAGGTTTCCTGCTGCGGTCGACGTCGTTGAACACCCCGGTGCATGTTACCGTTAGATAGCTGCTGCGCTCCTTTCTTTCACTACTGTAGGGTGTAACCTGAGTTTGTTGTGAGCGCAGGTGTTTAAGAGCAAGTTTCTACCCATAAAACAAAAAAAAAAAACGGCTGCGGTTTTAAACTGGGACTGTGCCGTGGTACGGTCCGGCTAAATGAGGTTGAAAATGCGAGGCTGTGAAGTCCAAGGTGCACTCTGGGCTCCGGTCCAACACACATTCCATTCATATCTGCGACTGAAGGTTACTTGCTGTGGTGAAATTGCAAATTCAGAGAACCAGAAAATTATGATTAAGTGTTGGAAGTCCACCTGACACAACCAATTTGTTTGTTAATAGATTGTCAAAGTGCTCATACAAGCATTAACTACATCATTTAAGCCACAAAGCGTACAGTTTCACTGGCCTATAATAACCATGTTTGCTTTTTCACCATCCAATCTAATTCCCATTACATCTGTAAGCCTCGGGGCTCACATGTATATTCCATTATGTGAAAATTTGTCCACACAGTCGGCCCAAGAATTGACAGATGTTAAACGCAGCTGTGGGAACTGACATTGTGTTTTGCAGCTTGAATTCAGGTGTGAGCGGCGTTACAGTATGGGAAAAGGAGGGGCCGGCGTTAGAAATGGTGCTGCAGCTCGAGGTCTCCTGAGTCTCTTGGCTGCAAGAAACAGAAAGTGCATCTGTTTCTGAGGCGAAATCAAGCCGATTGGGTGTTTTTGAGATAATGTCTTTGCTCAACGTGTTTGCTCAAGGCCTACAGTGCACAGAACACTGACCTTTGTCATTTATTTAACTTCACATAACCTCCACAACCCTCACACACAAACACTAAAGGGTGACTTTAACATCACAGTGTACAGTGATGTGGACAGGAGTCATTCACCCAGCAAGCAGCCCACAAGACTCATTCACAGCCTCCACACTCTGACTGACAGGATGATGAAGATCCATGCAAAGCAACCTCAAAGGCTTCCTTCAGCTGCTTGCCACCACGCTGTCACACTCCATGACTGACTACATCTGTGTATCTGACAAGATCGCTGTAATTACAGCAGAGTCAGTGTTTCGAGTGACAGTGCATCTGGATTAAACAACAGTTTGGGCTTGGAAGGAACTCTCAGATCTGTGGCAAGTCAAGCAACGCCGCCGCTGCCGCTGCTGCTGCTGCTGCTGCTGCTCGCTCACACACAGTCCAGATTCAGACTACTGAGAGGTAATGACTCAGGGAAACGTTACATACACAATCACACACCGCTCCCCTCCCCTCCGCAATTCTCCCCTCTGTGCTGGGCCACCACACATCCTAAAAATGACAAATACATCATTGCACTAGAATGCCGCGAGGACAGGAGTCACAGGAAGTTTCCTCAAAGCATGCGGTATTTCAAACACGCGGTCAATAAACTCGTACGTTTTTACTGATGCAACGTAGGAGTCGGTTCCTTCTTGATGGCTTTTATATGTCATGAACATTAGTAGTCCCCACAAACAGCAACAAGAGCAGAGGATGTTTGTGTGACTGTCAAATGCCATCGCTCTGAGCAATTACTGGACGAAGAGGAAAAGTCTGCACAATATTCTCACAGTGCTGGATTTGTGTCCCCTCTCAACTGCAGCACAGCTGTCTTAACAGCACCCCCGCCCTCCTCCTGCTCCCCTGCAGGGGTGGGGTAGGGGGGGAGTCAGCATTGTGTTTCTATAAGCTAGTTGTCCCGTCGGGCTTTGTTTTGCTGGCACAGTACCACCTCTTGCCCTCAAATGCACCGAACGAGAGCGCCGCAAATTATTAGCGTTGTTGTGTCTCATCATTCCAGATGGGGACGAGGACACAGAGAGGAAAGATAACACGAATCACATGCTCTGTTTTGGAGGCCTGGCCTGTTGTGTCTTTGTGGAGCATAAAGTTCAGTGTGCTCACTTTACCAGAGAGAAGGGAGGCTCTGTGTGGGTGCATAAGGAGTGGGGTTGGGGCTTTGCAGAATCAGAGGAGTCACACATTTTTTTGTGTGTGTGTGTGCAGCCTTTCTTCTATTTATAATCAGCCCAGTTTAATGTCTATTCTTGAGCCACTCCCTAATAGTTAGTGAGAAAATGAGTCTTCCTTTCTGGAACAGTGTCTCTTGGCTCCAGGCAGCGTGATGATGGTTGACACAAAGGATCCTCTGTGTCACTTGGCTGTGATGCAGCAGAGTGGAGCGCACCACACAGGCCGCCCCGAGTCCGACTCCCCTCCACCCATCTGGTTCGGAAGGGCCGCTGCACCGCTACCTCACGTTACCTTCTTTGTGAAGGGGGCTGCCTGCGTGCGGATGGAGTCCACGCCGACGCTGAACCGGACCGGGGCTGAATTACACATCAGCAGCAATCGCATAAAAGAGGCTGTTTTAGCATCACAAGTGATTGCAGCGGTGCACCTTAGAAATGCATTTAGCTAACCCCCAGGACTTGGAAGTGCAGGTTTTCCACACAAATAAAGAGTTATTCCTTCTAATAGCACCATCTGTTGGCAGAAAATGCCCCCATTCTGTCTTGCAGCGTGTACGACACAAGCACATGTTGATGGTTACTATAATCAACTGTAATGTGTATATGATAACAGATTACAGAGACACCGCTGCTTCACTGTGGGCTGTCCTCATTTACTGCCAGGCTCCCTCTATTCCCCTGTAGTGCTAGCCTAATTAGGCAACCACAAGACGACTACGCTGTTTTAATTATTTTTTTGGTTAACGTTTAAGGAGGAGACGGCACCGGAGAGACAGAAAAATAGAATCTAAGTTACTAGAGGTGCTATGGGTGGGCGCAGTGTTGATACACAGCTCCCTTCTACCCCTCTAATCTGCCCCCCCCATCCTGTAAACCCCTCTGGGTGCTGTCCCCGCCACACTGACGGGGGGGGACACGGACTTAATACCAGCTGTGAGCCAAATTAATTAGCCGAACATGTCCTGGTCAAAGCCAAAGGAGGCCTCGACAGTGGGCTAATTCTGACGGTGACAGTCCAGCTGCTGGAGGCGTAAGTGAGAGGGCAGAGGAAGGCCGCGGGGAGCGATTATCTTAAATGATCCGATGTAGTTATTTATAGTAACTGTTAAAAAAAAGCAATTAATCTCACTCTGTTCCGCTTGTTACGAGCATCGTCACTGACCAAGATTTACTGTACAGCTTTAAGGATTCGACCCAACCGCACCTCTGTCTTTCTCCATCGTATTCAAACATTTCACAATCACAGCTGGGATATTGGTTAATAATCAGTCAGTTGGGATAGCAAGGATTATAGTTGGACGTGTGTGTGTGTGTTTCCAGTTTGCTTGGTTTAGTGTTCACACAGCTGAAGCCTGGATTGTGATGAGACGCCTCAACAAAAGGAACAGTAAAGCTCCCGTGTGGTAAAAATGATCGTGTCTTGTGTTTTGTAGTGAACTTGGGCCACTTCTCAACCCCCACAACTAGTTAGCCTCCCAGTTTTGCAAAGCAGTAAGACCCAGGTGCTATGTGACGCCTAACTAACTAATAGTAATCCACCTCAAACCCGTGTGTTCGTCCTGACTGTGGCGGGAAAAGCAGCAGCTCATTGGTTTTCAGAGCAAAACAACCCTTTTAGCACCAGGAGCTACACAGTCATGGTGACAGGAATCATATTTGTTTTGAGCTGATAACCTGAAAGACACACTTGTGGAGATATTTGATTGATTTGCTGAAAAGTGGGGGCTCAATATGGGGCAGATTTCTGGTCAGCTTTGCCACCCTGGACCCCTGTAGAGCATCACAAGTATAACCATCAAATCAGGTTTATTGTCATGTTGCTGTGCATACACAGTAGCAAGATGAGGGAGCGTTTCTTTAGGAGCCAATAGCTTAAAGCAATTTAAATAAACAAGTGTTTGAATATCTGGATCAGCAGTTCAGCATTCTGTGGCATGAAGCTGTTGATCAGTCTTGAGGTTCTTCCTTTAACGCTCCGGAAACGTTTGCCTGATGGCAGCAGTTCATGGAGAGGGTGTGAGGAGTCCCTGACCATGTTCAGGGTCCTGCTCCTGCAGCAGTTCCTGGACAGAGGTGAGGGAAACTCTGATGCCCCTCTCAGCTCCTCTAACTATCCTCTGCAGAGGATCATTTCAATAATCAATAATCAATCTGGGCTCCTGTAGTCTTCTCTAAAGCCATTCGAGTCGTGACCTTCGGCGTAAACCCCACCCTGTCAACTTCAGCGTTAATATTTTCATTTGGCCGGCGCGCTGGAGGCCACCCTGCTCATTACACTACAGCTCTACTGTGTAAACAGAGAGCAGCATGAAAGGCCGTGAGGGGCCCCTGCATGCCTGTGGGAGTACGGGGCGTACTTCATGGTTTTATGCTTGAAAAAGAGCCATAATCTTCCACCTAATCTGGGGCTTTGGGTGGAATTCCCCTCACATGGACGGCGGACGCAGGCATACACTGTGCTGGCTCTGGTTTTAAAAACACTGTAAGTTAGATAAACACGTGCATTGAAAATTTGAGTTGTGATTTATTTTCTCACAGGTTAACGACACGTCTTCACGACTTAAGTCACCGTTTAGTCGTGAGTTCAGTGGCTTTGCCTTCACATAATAAAGTAATTGCAGTTTTATTATTTTATTATTATTGCATATAATTTCAGACTTTTTTAGGATTTTGAGAAACTGTTGCCCCCTAGTGGTCTAAATGGGTAATGTCTGAAGTCACTGCCTTCACATTTAGAAGAAAGGTTAGAGAGAAAACCGCTTTGACGACGACTTATCGCTGTCAGCAGGTTCTCATTTCCGTGGGAGGGACTCTTGGGATGACAAAAACTAATTCAAAAAAACGTTTAACAAACATGTAATTAGACAGATTATCCTGATGCAGCAAGAAGCCGCTAAACACTAAAAGTTAAATAATGCACAGCAGCAAAAACGTCAGCGCTCAAGAGCAGTTGGTTTCATTTTTGCAGCTTCTTGCAGATCACTGAGGTATTACTCAGCAGACTTTCACATCTGTTTAGCTGTACATTTGCATAAACGTTAAACAAAAAACCCACTTGCAATACTAGTCCTCAATTTCAACATCTAAATGAACACCAAGAGGCGACACTTAAGTCCTTTTTTTAGTCTCTGTTTGTGACCAATCTAGTTTAAACAGCTAATTTAACTGAAGACAGCTCAGTGGTGTCTGTGCCTGCACATGTCTGCCATCTAGCTTCACAGCTCCACAACTACACAGAGCAGTGAAGCAGCTGAAAGGAATTTTCACAACTTTTAAAACACGTTTACTCTGATCAAACATCAGAGATATATTTATTTCCACATTATAAAAACGCTTCCTTTGAAAAATACAATCGACAATGAATATTTTACACAAGCTGAGAAGACTTTTAACTCTCTGACTTCCACGTGATACATTAAAAAAAAGGAATTTCACCACAAACTATTGTGCTTTTCTTCGGATGTGCAGAATGTGGATGTCTGGGCTGCTAAACTCTGGGTCCTGTTTGTCTGACGGGATCCTCTCACAGCTGAAGTTTTGTTGCAGCAACTAAAAAGATAATGCAAAAGTGAGTCAGACGATCCCAGTGATGAATATCTCAACTCGGCGAGTACAAAGAGAACACAATTTCTAACCTCAAAAAACCGCCTTTCCACTTCTGGGTTGACGCCCTCAGTGCGCTGCTCATAGCAGCATATAATGCAGGTTTCTGGTCCACAAAGCAGCTTCAAGGTCTCCACCAGTGGAACAATCGACTGCGTGGAAATAAGAGATGACTCACAGTGAGAACTGCAGCTTCAACAGTCAGGGTTTTTTTTTTCTGGTTTAGAATAATGTTGCAATCCTGCAGAAGGGTTGCACTGGATTGAAAAGAGAAACGTGTCGCAGAATACCTGCTCATAATAGATGCAATCTGCCATGAGGACATAACGTGGGGGAGGCAGGAACTCAGACACATCTTCACCCCTTTAGGAAGAAATCAAACAGAACATGGGTTAGGATGCAGATAGGGTGTATTTCTGAAATCCAACTCAGCAAATAAAACAGTTTGTACTAGTGTTAGACCCTGCATCAAGAGCAACAGGAACATTTTTGATAGTTTCATATAAATGCATTAGATTCAAACC